TGGAGTTCAGTTGCAGCCTTGGCTTTCCTGGTTTGCTCCCTGCAGGACTGGACCAGTGCAGAATATTCCTCCTTGGAGGTGAGTCCCATCCTCCATCCTTTGTAGGCCTTTCTTTTTAGCCTCAGGAGGTCTGCTAGATCCCTGGAGAGCCAGGAGGGGCTGCTGTGCCCTCTTGCTGCCTCTCCTCTGAGATGGAATAGATTTAGCTTGTGCACTGAGGATCGCTCCCTTGAGGAGCAACCACTCTTCCTGAACTCCCTTCTCCCTGGAGTCATGGTCCCTTAGGGCCTCACTGACAAGCTTCCTGAGGATGGTCCTGCTTTGAGCAGGGGGTGGGACTAGATGACCTCCTGAGGTCCCTTCCAACCCTAATTTTCTATGATTCTATTATTCTATATCTGTTGCCATTGGTTAGGTGGCATTTCCATCATGGTTCCATTTACAGGTGATGTGTCTCCTTGTCTGCATGCACTTTGGTCCAACCACCAGCTCTGTATTTCTCTGGACAGTGGGGAAGAGCACACTTTGTTCCAAACTTTGTGGAAAAGACCAATCCCCAATAGACTCTGTGTGCGTGTGTGTGCATGCGCACGTGTACACTGTAACATGAAATCCTACCCTGTAGCCAACATCCTCTGTGACCACCGCTGTGTCAACAGTGCAGCCTGCCTGCCATAACGTCTCCTTGATGCTGCATCCATAGAGGAACACATTCTTCTTCTGGGAGTGGCCATGGTAGTCACAGAAAACCTAGAGACAATATAAAAGGGGAAGCAATGGTTATGAGTCAAGACCCGTGGAACATTTAGATCAGTGTAATTTCCATTGGTTTGCACAGCAGCATAAATTACAGTGGACTCCAGAGTGGACTGGTGACCAGTTTATAGTGGAGCAGCAGACTGTAGGCTGCTGTCCCCATGCATTGCCACTAGTAGGCAGTGGAGAAGCAGGTAACAGCTTGAGCAAGCAGCAACCCCAGGATAGTGGATTGAACTTGATTACAGCTGCAGACACACATGTGCACCAGAGCAAATTATGCAGAGATAGAGTTACTGCAGGTTGTTTGTGGGGTAACTTTACACTGGTGTAAAGTGATTCGAATTGGTGTAGGGATGTTACATCAGTGGTTTGCTCCACATTTACATCTCCTGGGCACATCTATACATGCAATTCATGTGAATGAATAAACTCTGGCACAGTTTGCTCCTGAGTTTATTGCTCCCAGGCACCACATTTACATGTGTGCCCAGGACTGCAACACATTGAGCCAGGTTGGAGCAGCCCCAGCTGGCAGGGAGTCTGGGGGTCATCCTGCCAGTCCGGGGCTGCTCCAGCATGGCTCAACGTGCTGAGGAGGGGTTGGTTGGGGCATGACAGTGCTTCAGTGCAGGGTTAGCTGGCAGGTAGCCCCGGCACTAAAGCAACCTTGTGCCCCACCAGCTCCATCAGTGTCTACACGTGAATTGCAGCTCACTAAATAATGCCACTGTAGAATAGTACCAATTTAATGTACTCTAATACATCCACACATGTAGACGCTGAGACTTTACTGTGGAGCTAATTAGTCTCCTCTGCAGGAAGCATCTCATGTAGATCTACACCCTATAACTTAGATGACAGTGGTGCAAATGTGTTACATGCAGCTAACATACTCCACATGCAGTACATACTAGGTGTGTGTAACATGCTCCATAACACAAGAAGATTTCTGGTTCTTGAAATGGCTGTTTTGTGATACTAGAGGGTCAATCAATTGTTAAACAATGACATTTTTCCAATTTGTTTTTGCTACTCAGATTTAGACATGCCCACAGTGCCCTCCACACCTTGTCAGCTGATTGTAATTTACCTCCCAAGTTGCAATCTGTCCCTAACCTCTGACAATCCGTGTAATGGTGGAGAATTCGGGGGGGGGGGACTGTTGTGGCTCCATTTGCAGCACAGACGACACCTTTGTAAAGATGCCATCATAACTCAGGAACCTACAAGTTCAGGGAAAATTATGACATAATAACAGGGCAATTTGTCAGGTTTTTTTTACTTCTGAACTTCACTTTTATCCTCATGAGAACTAAAAACTGCACTTTACCAAGCAATTAATCATCAGGTAGTGTCTTTAAATTCAAAATCTGTGCTATAGAATTTGTGAGAAAACATAGCATGAGTAGTTACTGTACACGGTTGCATCACTACATCTGCCCCTATAAAGCAAAGCACAAGACCTGACCTATCTACATGGCAAATAATCTCATTTCACATCCTCTAGTCTGTCTGTCTAATCCATCTCTCTAGTGTCAATCTTTGTGTAAACCAGGTGCTAAGTATATTCTCACTTTCAATGGAACTTTAGATTGTCTTTATAAGCTTCTATTGACTCCTATAGAAATGAAAATCAGGATTTATTGATCCGAGAGGTAAATATTGACCCAGGCCTTGAAGAATAATCAATCTTGATGCTTGCAGAGATAGGAAGTCAATATAGGCAGCACTGTTACGTATATTCTTCATGTTTTCATGAGGAATATTTGGAAATTTCTCCATTAAAAGACAGGTATATCACCAGAAGAGCAGCTGTTTCTTTTAAAACCAGAATGCAAAAGGCTCAGAAGGCAACAATGCTCCAGAAAACTATTATTCACCTTTGATAAGTTAATCAGGAAGCAAAGAAGAACATTCAGATATCAGTGGAACAGGCGCTTTAGAATGCATTCATTAGATAGAGACAGATGGGAGCAGGAGGAAAGGGGAAGAAGTAGAGATAGTGGGTAAAATGAGACTGGGGGAATTTTGCTACTGACTTCAAGGGGTGAAGATTTTGCCTTTAGCATATTTACCTGGTAATTTATCTTTTTTTTTTTCTTCTCAAAGACAAATGAGCTTAGAGAAAATAACTGCAGCCCATTAGAGGTGCATTATTAACACATGATACTCTCCCTGCAATGTCAGCTAGACCAGGCTTAAAGGCCGGCCTGCTTACTATTCCAAAGAATGCCTCTATGCTGCCAGCCACCCCATGCAGGAGAAAATCTCCATGTCACACTTCATAAGCTCACCACTTTATCCACTTCCAAACCCAGCTCTACTGCGAAGCCTAAAGGTCTTTACTCTCTGGCCTTGGCTGGACACCTGACAATCCCAAACCTCCACTTTTGAACTAAATTCTATTCATTTTATTGCAACCTACTCCCACACCCTATTTCATCCAGCTGTTGCAACCCATCCACTACCTAGCTTGCATGATCTCTGGGGAAAGGTCTGCCGTTGTTACATGACTATCCAGCACCCAGTACGAATGGACTGTAATCCTCAGTTAGGATTTCTTGGCACTGTTGGAATGAACTATTACGAATGACTAGTATTTCTCTTATTCTTTCTTAGTCCTGTTCCAGATAACAGCATGGTCCACATCTAGGAAAGTTTCATAGTTTCTAGGGTCGGAAGGGACCTGAGTAGATCATTTAGTCTGACCCCCTGCCATGGCAGGAAAGATTACTGGGGTCAAACAACCCCAGCAAGGTGTTCATCTAATCTCCTCTTAAAGACCCCTAGGGTAGAAGCCAGCACCACTTCTCTTGGAAGTTGGTTCTAGATCCTAGCCTCCCTGACCATGAAGTTCTGTTCCCCAGCTTCATATATCTGTGTGTTTAACTTCAACGACATTTGGATCAGACCTAAAGTGGTCAGCACCCAAAAGAACTGAACTTAGGGTGCAGTTAAAGGGTGAAGTTACGTGTTACACTTAGACCATACTCAATTTTTAGAACGTTAACCAGTGTTAAAGTTGGGTCCTGTGAGCAGGTGCATGTTAAGAGTTAATACCATTTCTTCTCTGCACAGCTCTGACTTGCCACTAGAGGGCTGACAGGAGGGGTATGGCTAGAAGCCAGGACACCTGGGCTGTATCTCTGCTCTGGACAGAAGGTGGTGCTGGGAGCTGTGCATCCTGGGATGCTGGAGGAGTGCGAATTGCTAATTTTATCTCCATGGAGAAAAGTGAAGATACAAGCTAGGTAGCATAGCCCAGAGTTAACCCTTGCCTGAAGTGGCATAACTTTGAGATGCTCAGAGGACACTCAGCATGAGTTAGCAAGTTGCAGTGTGCAGACACTCATGTTTTAAGTGCCCTTAGTATGGTGTAAGTGTAATGCATAACTTTACCCTTAGAGCAACAAGCATCACCATGAGCAGGGGAACAGCATACAATAAAGCATGAACCGCTTGTATAGACACCATATTAAGGCAGCCTATTTCAAGGGGAGTTGGGCACTAACTTCCTTGGATCCTGCATGCAGCCACCTCAGCCAACGGTTTATCTTAGCAGTTTGTTAACTTAAATTGCTCCCTGCAGCTTCTTCCCACTCCACTACTAAACCTCACTGCTGTTCTCCTACACTTCCTTGTCTCTGCAGCACTGTACTGCCAAGACCTGATACACAGGGATCAGTTTGTTTCCCAACAGCAAGTGTGCTGCATTATTTATACCATCACCACTAACCAGCGAAGGAGAGGGGAGGACTCAGAGAGCATGAATGCTGTGGAATAGGATGAAAATCCACAAGGGGCAGCGTTTCCAATTAAACACACCCAGGACTGCACAAACCCTGGAGACTCAATGTTCATGTCTTTGCAGAACTGTACAGTGAAATAACTCTGTCTGGAATGTGTGCAATTACCCTATAATCACCCCTTCTGAATGCCAGCGTTCTCCAGCTCTTTTAATGACAGATGCACATTTTTCCAGCTAGCGTTTCATCTAAGCTATGAGCAACATCCAGTCAGACTTTAGAGGTTAAGCACAGGTACTATGTGGAATTTATGCCAATGAATATCAAAAAGGATTTTATAGCTTCAGCCCTATTTCGAGGCAGAACTCCCAGCTCAATTGGGTATCAATTACCTGCCAATTTAGCTCATTACTAACATGCAAAAAGCACATATATTATCTGCCTAAAATATAATTTTACATATCAGAAAGCACCCAGGGATGATCAGCTAGTCAGACAACCAGATGGCCTGCTCAGTCCCAGCTCTATAATTTTGCACCTAGAAAAACCTGCAGATTATTCCTAAATAACAGGGCTGAAATGGGCCTATTGGCTGATCCAGTCCTACCCACCAGCATCAGGGTAGGATTACCACTAACACCGATTGCTGAAGGATTATCTGCAGTGTCTGCTTCCGGGGCCTTATTTTGTTGGGTTGCCATTGGTTTCAATGGGAGCAGGGTCAGTGCCACTGTAACTTGCATTACAGGGGAACTTCTTCACTGTTCAGCCTGGAAAGAATCCCTGTGCTGTAACCTGTAGCCTGACAGCAAAGCAGCAAAACTCTTCCTGAGGCTTCATGGGGCAATATTCAATCAACCTGGCATCCACAAGCAACCAGCTTCCCTTCTAATCCACTCTTGTAGCTCAGACACTAACAGAGTCAGTGAAGCATCCCTCCCAACAAAAAATTATTGCAGTGCAAGCTGCAAGCTTGTAGCAGTCTCAGGATTGCCAACTCGCCTTATTTTATCATGAAGCTCTTGGCATTTGGTGTTTATGTTAGAGTCCCTTTGGCTTGAGTTAGTTTATTACCTGAGAATCTCAACTTTAATTACAGAAGTGGGGGAAAAGAGTTCTGGGGCCAGGGGTGAAAAGGCCTTTCCATTACTTAAGTTTATCCTGGCTGCATAGCAGAGAGTGAAACATGAGTTTCCTACCATTCGAACACCGATCAGCAGATAAAAAAGGACCCACTCCCCCAAA